AATACCATTATACCAGGTATATAGTGAAAATAGTTGGTTAATTTTATAAGGTACTCAACAATTTGTTTTATTTAAATTCGACATTAAAGAAACATCTAAAAACTTTGGTGCGACTGATATCGCACATGGAGATATGTTTGACTCTGTAAAACGGTCTCAGATACTGGCTTTTGTCAAAGCCCTGGAACTGTACGATGTGTTATAACTCAAGAAAGGAAGACTACAATATGATCTGGTCCCTGGTGATTAACCCCCTCCCACTCGTTTTACATTTTATATCAAAATTATAAATTTATCTTGAATTTATAATGGCAACAAAAAATTACAGAAACGAAGTTGAATTTAAAATGGATCCCTGTGTAGGGGGCAAATTGGCCCAGAAAGATTACTAATTTGCATTTATTAAAATAAATGACCTTTGACATTTTCATTTAATATATAAAATATAATATTCTCGTAAACTTTCTTAACTAAAATATAATATAAAATAATAATAAAGTTTATAACTTTCATATAGCTTTTATTAAATGAACTGACATTAAACATTTGTATCCTACATGTATTAATTTTATTAGAGAAAACCCACGGGTAAAATAAGAATACTTTATTTTTGCTTGTATAAAGTTCATTATCCCAGTTTCTTTTTCGAACGACCTTTGCTATTTAGGTTGTCTTGTTATAGGAAATAATATAATATTATATTGGGCGAATATCTTATGCTTTGTGCATATGCTTTGATGCTTTATGCTTTGAACTTTAACATTTTAAAAGAAGGCAAAAATATGAGTTCTACTAAAGAAATGTTGATACTAGATACAAAGGAAAAGTACATTATCCACAGAACTTCTGTTCATCCCTAATTATTTTTCCTTTAAAGCCTCGTCTACACATGACGCTTTACTTATTCAGTCAAAACGTATCAAGTAACCGAACCTAACCTCCAGTTTAATGGTCATAAAGAACTACATTACTAAGTAAAACACTCTGCTAAATAGCCATTGATGATGATGACTTCATGACTAAAATGAATTATTCATATAATTTTTGAGTAAAGAATATTCTTCCAGGTTGATTATAATAACAGACAGCTATAAAACACACCGGGCAGAGTACAACCTGAGCAATAATCAGTACCGGTAGCGTTTTAAAAATCTACATTTTCTGCGGAAGTTCTCAAGGTTTTTCAATTCGTGGTTCGTGGAAGCTCCGGTGCAGCCGAAAAAAATACCCACTCTCACCGAACGCCATCCAAGGTTACCTGTAACAATTGCGCGTCGAAATAAATGACTTTTCGTTTTCGGCTATTTCAATAGGACGTGGCTAACAACTTAATTATAATAATTTTAATTTTATAAATGCGGACATTTCAACGCGTATGATATTTTACTTTTGACGCTGGTCGCGAGTTTCGCTAACAATCAGCAGATGATTATTAGCATCCTCAAGAATTGGTTAAAGAATGCCTAGAGAAGCTGAACAACTTAGGCAAAGAAAATAAAGTCCTCCTACTTTAAGTGCCCGTTCACCAATGGATAGAATGCATGCAATGAAAAATCGAACGATCTAGCTAGAAAAGGAGCGAATACTCCACTTACTGGATCAAAACCGTTCTGCTTTCTGAGCAGAACTGAAGAACATGGAACAATACATCCTAACATGCATCCTACATCCATAATATGGAATGGGAATCCTCCAACGGTCTAAGACACTCGAAACGTTCTTCAGAACTTACGACCGAGAAAAATCAAAGATTTTCCTTGATTTAAGTAAGAACAATCTTCGGATTGTCACGGGGTTTCTAACAGGACATTGTCTCCTCAACGAATACCTCAGTAGATTGAAGCTGAGAAACAACGGCGAATGCAGATTCTGTGGGGAGAACGGGAAAACACCAGAACACTTTATCACTGAGTGCGCCGAGACGACAACCGTTTGTGTCATAAACTTTGGTATCTACGACTGATGTCGAAGGTGGAGAGCTGGCCTCTGTGGAGCCGTCTCAGATACTGTCTTTTGTCAAAGCCCTGAGACTGTATGATGAATTAAAACCCGCTATAAGTCAAGAAATGGGAACAATAGCATCAGCATCTATTATTAGACCATCATCAACTTTTATTATTAAATCTTTTGTATTGATGATTTTACAGTACATGTTCCACTGCCACCTTTTCAGATTTATGTTGGTCTTCTTTTCATCTTCTTCTTCTTGTGTCGTCTCCACTGATGAAGGTTGGCGAGCACTTTCTTAAAGGCTGATTGACAGAATAGTAGACATCTCTAGAAACATAAAACAGCTTCCAATCCCCTGCCTAAGCATACCCGAATGCTGGTCATAGCTCTTGTAAAGTTTGTGGTGGAAAGGACGACGACGAAAACAGCTAAAGAATATTCTTCCTCTTTTTCTAGCTCTTTTAAGTTGTCCATCGCACAAATGTTCGATTGGATTGAGGTCGGGATTACAAGGAGGCCATTCCAATCTTTGTAGTCCAACCTCATCCAGGTACTCGTTAACTACTCGTACCTCTAACTCGTTACCCCGCGCAACGTGGGATCTGGTATTATCATGCATCAGAATAAACTGATTTCCAATGAAAAGAGCAAATGAAACGACAACTCCTTGGAGGACATCCTCAATATAACGGTGGGCATTGAGAGCTTCATTTTCAACAAATTCAAGATTGTAAAAATATCAGTACTCTATTTTGTAGCTCATAAAGGAAAAGAGATAATAGGATAATTAAAAAAATGAAATGTTATGCCGGATCCAGACTATATATAAGGCGACAAAAAGTAAACACGATTTTGAGACAAAAACAAGACAAACTTGCGACAAAAAATGGGTAATTCTGACAAGACAAACTTGATATTATTGGCTTCCTTTTGATTTGCAGAAACCGTAATTGCTTCTTTCTTCTTCTTATTGTGAGAGATAATTACTCACACTTCATTTTATTTTGAGATATTTTATAGGAATTTTATTTGTTAGGATAAATATAATTCTACAATCGGTTTTAAATTTTGTTATTGTAGGAAGTTCTACAATCAGAAAACTTGAGACAAGAGACAAAATTGTCCACACCGCAAGGACAAAAGTACATCAAAGTCAAAAGTTTAGTTGTTGCGAATGAGTTTTATTAATCATGTGTGATTTCACTGGTCTCCTACTGTTGGCAGCACATGCCATCCACACTGCGCCGACAACTTGTCGTAAAATATACGACCAAACTTTGACACTGTGATCTTTACCGACTCTAGACGGGACATTGAAAAGTTTCCGAATTTTGAAACAAAACGAAAATGAGACAAAAATGTCGCAGAAATGTATTGGATTTGTCGCAATTTTGTCGTAAAACATGAATGTTTCTGTCTTGTCGTTGTTTTGTCTGCTTGGTCTGGACCCGGCATTAGGAATACATCTAAGCAAATACGTTTAAATAAAATATACGACGGCCTCCCCATAAGAGCAATGAGAGGATTTACGTCCCAGTATTGAAGGAGAACAGAAAATTCTATAGCCATCCTTCAATATCGGGACAGGAATTTAAGCGGTACCCTCCGTATACTTTATTTTAAACGTATTTGCATCTAAGAATCTAAGAATTACGTAAAATAACAATAAACAGCGTAATAGAGAGATATCGCTAAACCGAATAGCGTGCATGGACGTTAATAAGGCCAGCCGTTATTTCCTTTACGTATTTCCTCTCCTTACGGTATTAACTCTCTTCATTTATAGTTATAGGATCGGAAAGAATTCTGTTCGCGTCGCGTCCGCCATTTAAACTTAACCTAACTTTGAATTTAAAACTTTGAAATTGTTTTGTTTACTAGGTATTTTAAAACTAAAGAGCTAAAGTGCTTATTTCCAGTGCTTTATTGTTCAACGTCTGCCAGGGGGTTTAGGACAACAAGCAACAAATTCTCTTAGAAGGGCTAAGTCGTCATCTGCTGTAAACTTGCTGTAAAACTGTTCTTTAATATTGGAAGAGGTGGAATCCATATTTTGAGCCATATTTATTTAATTAAAACTAATCCCAGCTACTTAAATATCAAATTACTTAATAAAACTAAAGTAATAATTCAAAACAATTCAAACATAACCTAAAATAAAAGATCTGGCCGCGCCGGCCGGCCCGGGTTGTCAAATACCCGCACATGCCCAAGCCATTATTTAGAAATAGCGCTTGGTGTAATTGATTAATTGATTCGCAAATTACGCCAGTGGTAACGTTATTAGCGGGTGTTGCATTAAAAATTGACGCGCGCATATCGTAACCATGATAAGGTACGCGTAAATACTGCATGACGCTATTCGGTTTTCCGATATCTCTTTAATAACTCTGCCGGTCAGGCGCTGTGCACAATTTTAGAGGCCATGAGTGGGCGTGCTATGTGCGCAAACTAGTAACCTAACTAGTGCCCGATTCCGAAAATTGGAACCACGAAAAACAATAAAGAAAAAACAAAATTTATAATCTGTATAATCTGTGCTAATACCATAATCATAAAAATCGGATCACAAATTAAAAAAAGTTATGAAACATCAAACTTCTCAAAATTCTTGAGGTGGCGGAATTTTGTGCCGAGGAGTTTATATAGACATTATGGAGGGTTCAGGCTCCAAGTTGTTAGACTTTTTGGATAGGACTAGAGAATGTAGCCTAAGGATCAGAAGAGGACCACAATAGATCTGAAAAATTCGCAGTAGATCAGGCCGATAGCCACCACAAGAATCTAATTTAATCTAATCTACCCTATATGCTTGCACTTAGTTTCTCCTCCCCTTACTTCATCCATAAAAAAACGTTCTTAATTTGGTTCATCCTGTTCCATCTCTATCTACAATCCTAAATTCCTCCTTGTTTTATTTTCGTTCTTTTCTCCTTTTTTTTTCCTATATTTTTCGGCCAACCGACAGTGCGTGCCCTTGAAAATCCGCAGCGCAGGTCTCGGCCGCCCATGACTATTATACCATCGCTGGAAGCACCACCAATCGCGCGCTTCTACGACGACGACGACGTCGACGGTGTTTTGTTTCGGCACCGGCCGTCCGCGATTTTCGCTCGCGTCTCCGTCGAGACGCGCAACAATCGCCGAGCGCGCGAGGAAAAACAAAAGAACGTGCGTCGTTCGCGAAAGAAGGGAAAACAAAATAGCGTCGCGGAAATATAAAGGAAAACACGATTCATTTGGTCGGTGCGTTGTTTTTGTGTATATCTTCAAAAAGTGTTAGTTGTTATTATAGATTCTATAAGAAAAAAATTCTTTTGTGAGGGTAGGCGCTGTTGTTTTTTTTTTTCAATGAGGTTAGATCTTAATTGATGAATATTTATGAAACCCTATCGAACAGTGACAATTTACCCTAAAATTTCCTAACTCAGAAATAAAAAAAGTAAAAAAAGTAAAGAAAAAATAAAATATTATAAATACTAAGAAGTTTTCCAGAAATTTAAATGATGTTCACAGACTTATCAAGTTGTTTCATTCTGTCTATTCTGATAAAAGATTGGTTTGGTGTAGTGTGGTAAAAATTACGATTTTTCTATTGTTTCTCCTATGTATAAAGTAAAAAAGAAATATTTATTTGTACTTTTCAATTGTAGTGTTTTCAATGTCCATATTATTGGCTTCCTGTTGATTTGTAGAAATCGTAATTGCTTCTTTCTTCTTATGACTTTGAAAATGACTTCGTCAAACGGACGTATAGTCTCGCCACAAAAAGTATCATTTTTACTCCTAATAAAAAACAATCTACTATTTTTACTTTAAATGTCAAATACGGATACTTGAAAGTAAGCCACAGCTTAAATGTTATTATGTCATTTTTAATCTATTTTCAGGTAAAAATTATACTCAAAATCAAATTTCATCTAAAACAATTAAGAAAAAAATGCCATAATATGATATCGCACGCTGTGGATGGTTTAAAATTGCGTTCACACTGCTCCGCGCCGCGCAAAACATTTTTTTAACATGTACTTTTGAAGTGTATTTTTTTAGCGCGCACAAAAGTGTATGTTAAAAAAATGATTTGCGTGGAGCGGCGCAGGACGGTGTGAACGCACCTTTAGAGAAAATAGTTTTTATGACCTTACATACTCGATTTTTAAAACAACTCCGACAGTGACTTTATGTAGAAATAAACAAAAAATATTGTGTAGGGTGGATCAAATTGGACGCTTTTAAAGGGAAACACCCTTTTCTAGACGAAATTGACGAAAACTAACATCGATGTCTGGATCTCAATTTTTATCAAAAACATGATGATGAAAACCGCACATCGATATCTGTTACCGTTTCCGAGTTACGGGTACAGGGTGTTTTTCAAAAACGTGCATTGTTGACAAATTGCTGTACCTTTTTTGCTATGGAAAATTTTGTATTGTTATGAAAACATTTCCAAAGCACCTTTTTACGCAGAATTTAATGGTTTAAGTCTAATTTTTTTAAAATTAATATTTTAAGAGTTATCAACAAAAAAATTGATTTTTTGACCTGTAGCAAAATCTCATGTCTTGGTTTGTTATTAATTGTTGTTGTTATTAGATATAGCTTAAATGTGTTGATGTTGTTAAATATAATTTAAATTGTTATAAAATTCTACATCTCTCATTGCAAATATGATTTTCGTTTTAATTGTTGCCAGCAGGCAAGAATAAGTTTTTTGCAATTACAGCCGGCCCCGTACAAAGTCTATACTTATTCAAAGTAGGCGAATTTTTAAAAACTCTATATCTCGAAAAGGAATTGAGCAAAACATCAAGTATGCTATATTTTTGGAAAGGTACTTTTAAATTATTTTCTGTTGATAACTCTTAAATTATTAAATTTAAAAAAATTATACTTAAACCATTAAATTCTACGTAAAAAGGTGCCTTGGAAATGTTTTCACAAAAATACAAAATTTTCCATAGCAAAAAAATTACAGCGATTTGTTAAAAATGAACAATTTTGGAAAACACCCCGTAACTCATAAACGGTATTAACAGATATTGATGTGCGCTTTTCACCATCATGTTTTTGATAAAAACTAAGCTTCAGACACGGATATTAGTTTTCGTCTATCTCTTATAGAAAAGGATGTTTCTCTTTAAAAGCGTCCAATTTGGTCCACCCTGTACTTTAACCAGTTTCCTTTTGAATCTCATCCTGGTATTAGTCCAACGCGTCAAATTAAAATCATTTCTTTACTATAGTCTGCCCAACGACTCAGGGAAGATTTCGACAGACGATATCCAAAAAAGACCGAAAATACAATTTGTCTACTGTGAACTAAAATGACAGACACAACTGTCACTGCCAGGAATCCGACCAGAAATCCTCCCGTTGAGCAGACCATAGAACTTTTATTTTACATTTCGTTAAAAAAAAGATGAGCCGCGACCAGTGCGGCGCGGAGTTTCGCACATTATCAATGACCTTCCTCAATGATCCAGACGAAAATTGAAACGTGCCTGTGTGAGTGTGTATAGACGGTCAGGGTCAAATTGCGAACAAACATGTAAAATAACACAGGCCGATCGCGAAACTGCCTGATTATCTGAACTGCAGGCGCACTGTAAATATTTGCCAGTAGAAAAATGTTTACTTTTGAAGCGAAGGCGGCTTCCCGTCGAGCTATGAAACCGGGACGGTGCACTGTCTATTTCTGTTATCTGTATCTGTTTTCATCGATCGATGATTGGTTTGTTCCAACACAGAGATTTTTACTGTTTTAGGACGGTAATTGAGATCGCCGGCATCGGATTTGTACGCGTGTGTCGATTTGTTCAGACAGTTCTGTTACTATACCAAAATTATATGCGGATTGAAGGGGTTTTTGAACTGATTTTATAATCAAATTTATAACCTAATTTTTAATTGTTAATATAGGTTAGATATATTTTCGATATAAATTTAAAATTTTGTATTTTATTGGATTTATTTACCGGTTATTCACTTTATTCATTTTTTAATTACGAATTCACCATTGCTTTATTTAACAAAAGTTTTAAATCATGTTCATATGTGTGTGTTCATAAATGTGTTATCATCACATTTAGTACAAAAATATAACAATATTTATTTAAAATCTTTTTGTATGTAAAATTATATGGGAATTTCATTCATCGTCACTGGACGCCGTTTTTTAGAAATTTTTTACGATTACGTGTTTCTGAGATTATTAATTTGACGATTATGTTTTTTAATTCTTATCTCTTAATATCCTATCTTTTTAGGTTAAGTTTGCTAATATCTAATATTGTATGCCACTACTGATACATTAGGTATAATACCGAAGGTGATTTTTAGATATTAATTTTTGGGGGAACATAAAAGGTAGTTTAATAGAGATAGATTTATTATCGATCTCAAAATATTGTATCGTAATTTGGAGCAAGGTTAATGTGACGATGAAAAAATAAACAATATGGATTTTAAGGAATTACGAAATAATCCAAATATTATTGTTTAATGAGCTATTCTCTTCACATATTCTTTCTTTTTAACTATACATTCTTTTTTTATTACACCCTGTTCGATTTTAGTCTTAGTTTCCAATTCCAAGTTAACTGCCACTATATTCCGTCTCGTTTCATTACACTTTTTTATTCAGCAGCTTCGAATCTTTCTAAACTCTTTGCCCCGATCATCGTTTCTCTATCCACGTCGCACTCATCATCAGAGAAAGATTTTTTAATATAGCTATAGTAGATATATGGGTTTTCTATAAAAGAGCCAATTACGGCAAATTCATTTTCTTCACTTCCAACGACAAATTTCTTCCTAATAGGTTTTTTTATAAACCACACTACGAGCTCTGAGAAATAGGACAAGTAGTTTTTGAAAGGAACACTGATCAGGAAGGTTCCTATTTGAATATCTTTGAGCGTAAGCCCTTAAGGCCAAGAAGCAATTTTTCTCACATAATAAAATCACTAGTAACATATCCACTCATTCCGCTAGCAGATACTGATGGAATTTTTCTTGATAAAATTATTAATACTTACTTATTAAACTATTGTGGGTAAATTTAAGTAAACTGTTAAAAATCTAAATAATAAAAAAATCCATAAACTATATATATAATTGTCACTAGAAAATTACCATGGCTACACCAGCCATCTTGATTGCCATTTTATTGCCAAATCGCTTTTTATTCAAAATCTGAGCTAGATAGGATAGGATAACCTAATATAGATTGAAAGAGCATTTGAATCTGCTTTGATTTATTTTAACAAACATAGGGTGTTGCATTTGAAATAACGAAGTTTTTATATAAAATAAATCCTTAAAATAGATCATAATTTTTGGTACCCCTGTATAAATTTAAGGAACCAATAATAATTTTCACTAAAGTTTATTTCTCTACCTTTAAACTCAGCACAAGAATTAATTCTGAAAAGTAATGTGTACAGGGTGTTAATAATCTATTCTATTGTAGCATGCATATTTAAATATCTTTGAATATCTCAAAAACCAAAGATTTTAAACATATTTAACCCTTATAATAAATGCCTTTTTTGGGCCCAAGAATCCAAAAATAAAATAACATACCGGGTGTTCCATAAGAAAAAATATAACTTTGATATGGATCTTAGTTCTGAAAAACCCTGTATATTTCAAAATAATTTTAAATTGTGCACATTGCCTCCCCACATATACCCATAAAATATTTTGTTTCTATATCATTTCGTTTTCGTATAGTCAACCGAGGCGAATGAGGTGCGCCACCCGGTATATCTATATTATTTTGTCTATAATATAGAGTAGATGAATTAATGCAATGCAACATTTGAATTTAATTAAAAAAATATTCATAAGCACAGTTTTTTAGATTTAAATTATAAAAATTATCTATTTTTATTCTTTATTAACTAGAAGACATGTGTAGTGGAAATGTGTTCTACGTGACGTCATTGTTACGTTACCAGTAGTGATGGGAAAAACCGATTAATTTCAATAATCGAGTGCTCGAGTTTCAATCGATTTGAATAATCGAGCGAAATATCGCTCATATTTAAAAATACGGTTTTTCTTTCGCCCTTCGCTTGTTGTTTTCATAAAGCCAAACAGTAAGTTGCGTGCGCAGAGGACATATTCTTTCGGTGATGAATGGGAAGAAGCAAGCGACGAGTAATTCGCTATTCGCTTTATTGAGTTTATATCAAAGCATTGTCGATGTAGGTAGTAAAATTTTGTCACTCAGATACGCAACGGATAACGTCGTATAAATTTGCTACCTGCAATGTATGTAGAAAAATCGCTCGGCTTTTTATCGAGTATGTCACATTAAAATCAGATTTCAATTTCTTTCATTCTAGGATCGCTTGCATTCGTCGCTCGTAACTCGTCACTTGCATCGCTCGTTCATAATCGAGCGATGTCAGTTATTTCAATAATCGTAATAATCGAGCTATCCCATCACTAGTTACCAGGCCCTTCTTCTACCTAATATGGAGGAGCAATAAAACGCAGATACGTAACTGTTCGCTGATGTTTCCTAAATGTGACAAAACTTTGCTCACTGGGAATATTGGATAGTTTTTTCAGCCATTTTTGTTTACTATATTTTGTTATATTATTAACCTTTACAGCGCGCAGCGTACCGATTTAAAAAATATTAAAATCACAATCGCAGGTTACAGTCACAACGATTTATAAATCACACTTACAGTTTTGCTCATCTCTATTTCTTACACATAGTGTTTTCCCGGCTACTGCTTAACATTTTAAAGATAGAAATTCTGATTCAATATAATATATTGCAAAATAATTTTTTTTATGAACAATATTCTAATAAGACCTTTATATTCTATTTGCATTAAATTACTGAAATTTTGAATGTAGAAAGTCCAAGGGAGTCTTGGTCTTGGTCTTGCACTCGGTCTTGCATTTGCTCATCACTAAAAAATACTACAATTTAAGAAAAAAAATTGGTTTAAAGAATTAGATAAAATATATAGGGTGGTCCGAACTATATTCCGGAAACTTTAGCAGCATATTCTGCAGGTAAAAATAAGTAAAAAAGTTCGTATAAATGTATGCCTTAAAATGATTAGTTTCGGAGATACAGGGTGTAGAAGTTTCAATTTTATTTCGATTTTTTCCAAATAATTTCTGAAGTAACGTCAATATTTGGATAAAAATGGCGTCTGTGAGTTCTTTGACATGAGAAATTTGATTTTGATGTCAATATAACCTCTACTTGTAGAGGGGGGCGCTACCTACATATTTTTTAACTGGTTTGAAGAGTAATAACTTTTCGTCCGTACCTGTATAAAACTAGTGAGTTAAAAAATATACATTTATCATATCTTTTACGTAAAAAAGGTCTCTTGGTAAAAATCGCTACGTGTAATGTTTCTCGAGATATTTGGAATCGAAATTACCACTACCTGTCATCATTGACATAAATTGTTGACTAAATTGTTTTTGTGACAAAAATTCAACAGAAACTGTTTTATCATCATTTTTCCAAAGAAAAAATTATGATTAGTTTAAAAAAAAGTTCCCAAATTTCTCATTTCAGTCAAATAACTATCTGCTCAACATGTTTATTTTTAGCCAATAATGATATGTATTGACTATTTCCATTCTAAATATCTTGAGAACGGTTGCTCGTAGGTATTTTTACCAAGAGACATTTTTTACGTAGAAAATCACAGAGATGTACATATATTTTTTGACTTAGTAGTTTTATACAGGTATGGACAAAAAGTTAATACTCTTTAAAACAGTTAAAACACATGTAGGTGGCGCCCCTTACAAATAGGAGTCATATTGATATCAAAATCAAATTTCTCACGTCAAAAAACTCCCAGACGTCAATTTTCATCCAAATATTGACGTTACTTCAGAGATTATTTGGAAAAATTTGAAACAAAAATGAAACTTCTACACCCTGTATCTCTGAAACTAAGCATTTTATCAGTAAAATATGCTGCCGAAGTTTCCGGAATACAGTTCGGACCACCCTGTATACTTGAATATTGATTACAATATTTGTAAGGTGACCAACTGTACTCATTTACTGAGTTTTGTACTCTTTTTTCGCGAACCGTACTATTTTCAAATCCTGTACTCTGAAAGTACTCATTTGTGTAATTTTATACTCATTTGTATTTCTAAAACATTTTTTAATTCAATCGGTTTACAGTACGTGTAGCAAGTTTGAAAGAATTTTGTAAAGAGGTTGGTGTTCAATACAAAAAATCGCTTGGTTATGCCTAAGTCAGATGGCTTGCTTTAACACTACGTTCATATTTTTAAGCCTTCACAAATATCCTACAATTTTGAAGAAATTCTTTCAAAACGATATGTCAGAACCTATGCTTTATTTTCAGTCAGGCGTCGTTTTTTCATAAAATTAAGCCGGGTCCACATATGTAGCACTCTTTTGTATCAGGATCATGTATCACGTATCAAGAGTATGGGTCGTAAGTATGGACGTTTATTTGGGCTGTGTCGACTGAATATGCATATCGTGCCAAAGTAAGCGTCCATACTTCAATCAACAAATCACCTTGTATCGTCGTATCATGTTCATCAATTCTTGTCAGCGAACCCTCAATGCCCCTTTGATGATCGGAGAAAAACCGCTTCAAGACGGGTCACGGCGTATCTAGTCAATTGTATCGTTATACTGTATCAAAACACGTCCAAATGACAGATCGTGATACGTGCATCCGATACGCAGTGTTAAGATACGCGCCAAAATTCGGATTGGCATGTATCAGATACGGTATCACAAAGGTGTACCATATGATCGCGTTAATTCGGTGTCCAAACTAGCGATCATGAAACATGTTGGTGCAACGCGACGGAGATATGATACACGAAGATGCTACATATATACCCGGCTTTACTCTACAAATTGAAGGAGATAAAATTTCAGCAGCAGAAGTTTGTATTAGGCCGGGTCCACATATGTAGCAAATTGCTTTATCATATCTCCGTCGCGTTGCCCCAACATGTATGATGATCGCTAGTTTGGACGCAGAATTAACGCGATCATATGGTACACCTTTGTGATACCGTATCTGATCGATGCCAATCCGAATTTTTGCGCGTATCTTAACACTGCGTATCGGATACACGTATCACGATCTGTCATTTGGACGTGTTTTGATACAGTAGAACGATACAATTGACTTGATACGCCGTGACCCGTCTTGGGGCGGTTTTTTCCGATCATCAAAGGGGCATCGAGGGTTCCGTCCTGATAATATAAATGAGAATTGATGAACATGATACGACGATACAAGGTGATTTGTTGTACCGTCCACATACACTGATACGCACGCTTGTAAGCTGATACGTATGAATTTTATAAGTATGGACGCTTACTTTGGCACGATATGCATATTCAGTCGACACAGCCCAAATAAACGTCCATACTTACGACCCATACTCTTGATACGTGATACATGATCCTGATACAATAGAGTGCTACATATGTGGACCCGGCTTTATATTAAACGATTTCATACTGCAATGTAATTCAAGATTTAACGATGGATTTTTACCACTAATTCTAAAGAATAAACTGACCGTTTTGGAAGATTCCAATCCCGGTATAAAAAATGAATTTTTAAAAGAAGTTTGTCTTTGAAGAAATTCGAAGAGTAAATTTATATTTTAATGAAGAAAAATTGAAGAAATGGAACGATGAGAAAATAGAACTTGACAAAAGATAGGTAGAAATCTTTCGGCATTTTAAGCCGGGTCCACATATGTAGCATCTTCGTGTATCATATCTCCGTCGCGTTGCACCAACATGTTTCATGATCGCTAGTTTGGACGCCGAATTAACGCGATCATATGGTACAACTTTGTGATACCGTATCTGATACATGCCAATCCGAATTTTGGCGCGTATCTTAACACTGCGTATCGGATACACGTATCACGATCTGTCATTTGGACGTGTTTTGATACAGTATAACGATACAATTGACTTGATACGCCGTGACCCCTCTTGAGGCGGTTTTTCTCCGATCATCAAAGGGGCATTGAGGGTTCGCTGAGAAGAATTGATGAACATGATACGACGATACAAAGGTGATTTGTTGTACCGTCCATATACAATGATACGCACGCTTGTACGCTGGTACGTATGAATTTTATAAGTATGGACGCTTACTTTGGCACGATATGCATATTCAGTCGACACAGCCCAAATAAACGTCCATACTTACGATACAAGCTCTTGATACGTGATACATGATCCTGATACAATAGAGTGCTACATATGTGGACCCGGCTTTAGAGGTGTTCTACCAACATGAAAATTTAAAAGTTTTAATAGAAATTTCCTTATATTGTCCAGGTATCCGAACATCCTCATTTAGGAAAAAAATCCACTCCGAAGAAAAATATGTTTTTTAAAAGAAAATAAAGTTTTTATCGTTTTTTATTCTCTTTTTTTTCACCTATGAAATATTGCAAAGTGTACTCTTTTTGAACAAAAAATAGTTGGTCACCTTAATATTTGTCTAGATTTGTTTTAGATTTTTATCTAGAACACAAACATTACTGGGAAATTTAAAACATGTTTTTTCTAATATTTTGGGACCAGTGGCGGATACAGGAATTTATTTTAGGGGGCCCATATAAAAGGTAGAGTATGATTTTTAGAGCGCCATTTTTAACCCAAAAGCCTAGTATTTAACTCAATTTATAGATTTTCGGGGCCCCCCTGTAACACGTACCCTGGGATACATTGTAATCTAAAATACTGCACCGTCCCGATTTCTCGCCTCGACGCGACCGACGCATCCTCAATCTACCGTGGTCGTCGTCGCGCCCCGGCTTTATTTTTAAACATTTGAAACTTTTGTTAATGCAATCCAGACGAGTCACTAGTTCGGTTTGGTTCGCTTTCGTTCCCTCGGCTCTTTCTTACAACCTCTGTATATTTCAACCTTGAAAAAAACAACAGCATGCACCTAATTATTCAGAATCTTTTCTAACGTAGATCAGCGCGATTTGCAAGAGGATACGGATTAGGATTCTCGGTATAAAAAATTCTGCAAGTAATTAGAAAAAATAACTGAGACTGACTAGTGTGTGATTCGCGTTGATCGTGATAGTGAATTGGTCTGTGATATAAGTTCAGTGCGGTGTGAAGCAAGATGATGAAAAAAGAGAAGCCGATGATGTCGGTGACAGCTATAATTCAAGGGGCGCAAGCTGCTCAGCATTGGGGTAGGGGATTGGGTGGGTTTGCACCCCCTCAGATGTCTTTAGGTAAATATTAAGTGATAAAAACGTGGTCTATTTTTTGTACCATAACTAATAAATAATCAGTAAAAACAAACACTTATTTTATAAAGAAAGTTTCTTGTCAAAAAAGGTTTATAAATACTGTATAATATCGTGAAATTAGAAATGACGATCGATGACATTCACTAAACAGAGTGAGTCTTAAATAAGTGCAAATATTTTCAGGGCTGGTAGATCTCGATAAAAGAGACATATTTTCTCTTTACCGTTTTTCAAATAAATGAGATATTTTACTTTGAAAATGTCTAAAAAAAATGTTTTTTTGCTAAAATTTTGAGAACCACTGGATCTTTTCTGGGTTTTCTTTCTTGTAAATGTAATCTACTACCTATATTGCCATATTATCAACAATTAAAATATATTTTTGAACTAAAAACTATACAATATATTTTTCAACTAAAAACTAAAAAAAATTGCAAATTTTAATTTTTTTTTCGCGAAAAAAATCTCATAATCGTGTTTCTAGGGTCGAAATATACCACCCCTAAAAATATTTTCACTTATTTAAGATTCGCCCTGTATAATTTTACTTATTAAATGATAACTTTCGTTATTTCCAAGCCTACACTGACGCCGTTTTTTTTTCGGTACCTTAAATACATTTAATTCTGGTATCTACTTGATTTAAAGAATACTTCTGCTATACAGTATGTCTCGGATCGTCTTTACAAGAGGAAAAACTTTTTTATTATTAATATTTTGGGAAAAGTGCATTCTTCGTAAAAAAAACTACGATGGTTAATCCCGCTTATACTTTTTCAAATTTCTATACCTTTTTAGAGAAAATAAAAAAAAACATGGAAATATGGTTGAATATTTTCCTAAAGTCCTAAAAATCAAAACGCGTTTCTATGGTAATATAATTTCGTTTCCATTCATTCGTAAATTGTTATTCATAGAATTTTAATCAACGTAATATTTTTTGTTGTTTTAAAATGTCAAAGAAGCACAATATTTATTTAGTTCAATGCTACGGAAAGGGTGATGATGATAGATATCGGAAAATGTGATACACATTTGGTCAATAGTTAATACAAAATATCTCTTTCGAATATCAACAATGTACCTATTTCTTTTTATGACAATAATAGAAAAAGAAGTATTTGCATATTATTCATAAAAACCATTCAATTAATACCAACACACATCTCTGAAAGCCTCCCATTTCAATTAAAACACATACTGAGGTGTCAAATAAATATCACATACAGAGTGACGTTTACATTTACCACGTCAATTAGAGTGGGACGCCGGAATATAAATGGACGCACATTTAATATAGGCTGAAAAGAGATTAAAAAGCGCCGCGTTGGGGGCAAAAGCGTCGTGTCAGAATGTCAAATTGACTGTGAAGTTTAAATTGCCAGAGGCGTAGTGTAGATCCTGAGTATGCACAAAGTATGCACTGACGAGGTGTTCAGTGTGACATATGTTTGCTGGCTTTAGGCTTAGATTCGTGGTGGAAGAAGCTAAATTTATCTGACTTTTTTTGTTTTTAATGTATCAATTACTTTCACTTTTGTACTTTTAATTTTTTGTTTTTTACTTTCATTTCATTTTTGTTTGTATATTTTTTCTGGTTTCTTATACTTTTTTGTTTTCTTTATTTTGACATTGTTCTACGCCTTTCAAGCATTATGCATTGTAGTACTTGGGAACAAATAAAGTATTATTGTTAGTTCCTATACAGGGTTTTTCAAGCAATTGGATAGAGTCGACAGTTTGACGCAGGTAGTTTCTGTTTAACAAGTAGATGACAAAATCACAGTCTTGTCCATACACTTGATATGGGAAGCATACGCCATCTTGGACATATTTTTTTTCTTTGCATTTTTCGACAAAAAAAGGTTAACAACAAATTTGTAGAAATTAAATTCTCTCCAATTTTGTATGAATAGTTTTGCAGGAAAGTGGCTATACAGGGTGAATCTTAAATAAGTGCAAATATTTTCAGGGCTGGTAGACCTCGATAAAAGAATCATATTTTCTCTTTGCCGTTTTTCAAATAAGTCAAAAATAACTAAGATATTTTACTTTGAAAATTAAAAAAAAATGATTTTTTGCTAAAATTTTGAGCACTACTGGATCTTTTCTGGATTTTCTTTCTTGTAAATTTAATCCACTGCCTATTTGCCATATTATCAACAAATTATGTTTTTTAACTAAAAACTAAAAAAATTTCCAAACAATTTTTCAAAAAATTCGAATTTTTTTTTGCGAGAAAAATCTCATGTTTCTGGGGTCGAAATACACTACCTCTAAAAATATTTGCACTTACTTAAGACTCACCCTGTATTTTATATTACATATATTTATTTTTATATGTATTATACTCTACTATATTTTTTATTATTCTATTACTTTATTTTTTATTACAAGATTTTTATTATTTAAAAATTATAAAAATTCTGATTTGACCGTAATTTTTGCAATTTTTCGCATATTTGTAATAAAAAAAGTGACACATTTAAATAACAAAGTTATAGGGGACTTAATTCTCGACAATTTTTGTATAAGGAATATTTTCGTATGGTGTAGGTATACCGGGTGCGTCTCAAAAGTGGCCCACCCCCGTAACTTTTTTATTTTTTCAGATTAAAAAAAACAAATTTGGTATGTTAGTATATGACATAAATTAGGATTGATTGACGTTTTCAATAATTGTTTTCGGTCAGTTCTTGTTTCACCGGAAATGACTACATCTTTTGATTTTTAAATGACACCCTCCGTATTTTTTTACTTTATTCGATAGAAAATGACTTTCTGAATCGAATGACATATGATATGGCAACTTTTGACATATTCACTCAAAAACAAATTGTATTTTAAATTTCAATCTAGAGTGCAATGGCTGTGTTAAAAGCATATTTGGAAAAAGCATTTTTTTACAAATAATTTGATACCACATACTTGGTATTTTGAGTCAAGTTGTCATTATGAACCGCATGTTATAATTTAAAATAAACCATATGCTAAAATGTCAAAAGTTGACATATGATATGTCATTCTATTCAGAGTGTCATTTTCTATCGAATAAAGTTAAAAAATTTCGATGGTGCCATTTAAAAATCAAAAGTTGTAGTCATTTTCGGTGAAACCGGAAGTGACCGAAAACAATTTAGTATGTCAATCAATCCTAATTTATGTCATATACTAACATACCAAATCTTGTTATTTTATCTGAAAAAATAAAAAAGTTATAGGGGGTGAGCCACTTTCGAGACGCACCCGGTATAGTTCACGACTGGGAACGGGCTGAACATTGTATGAAAATTTGTTAACAAAAACCAGTGGGACAAAATTAGCAACTTAAATAAAAAAATCTATTATTATTACTTTTACATATATAACTTTGCTTTGAGGCCTTTACCCACACGATTTTCTCTAATAAAAGGTCGTTAGATTACGATTTTATGTAGTGCATTCCGACTGAGAATAAGTTTATGGAGATAATATAATTGTAAATAAGGTCAAGTGCAAATAATGAATCAGTCCTTGAAGTCGGACAACATTCTTACATTAATTGTTTGTGTATTAATATTAATTTATCGGTCCTATTATTATTATTTATCTCCGATATTAATAGTAGTTATTTATTCGAATTGCTTCTCGGTAATATGTATCTTGTTTGCAAATTTTTGGTATCACTAGTTGAAATAATTTCTCAAAATCCGAAGATGGCATTCGGGTCCAAAATTTTCTTTAGTTAAGTTGTTAAGCAAATTTAATGCGCAACAGTAATTTCTGTTTCTGAAATGTGAAGCCATCCTGTATTGACCTTTTCAATTTTCGCCCTCGTTCAAAGCACCGGCTACATAAAGCGTTTTACCTGCCAGTTTTGCGTGTCAGGTAAAACGGAAACTGTCTGAAAAACTGACGACACTGACGAAAGTTCTCAAGATGGCCGTCCGCCTCATTTACACATATCGTTTTATTTGTCAGGTTAGACGGATTAAAAACTAGTGTATACAGGGTAGTTTTAGGTAGTCTATACTCGGTAATTTTACCTGCGGTTTTATAAAGTATAGGGCATTGTGTTTAGCGAAGTTGAATTTTTCAAAACATAGAGCTAATTGAAAATACAACTTTGAAAAACACCTCTCTGTAGTATTGAGCAACAAAAAGAATTGGAAGAGAGAAACATTTGCTCAGCAGTTGAAAGACCATACCATAATCTCGTATATGTTTCCAAAACCAAAGCAAGAACGGGGATAGGAGTATTTGGGCTGAAAACTTACAACCTATGCCAGCATCCAAAGAATGCCTAGAGAAGCCGAACAAATTAGGCGCCAGCTCATCAAGGAATAAAAAGTAATGACACAGCAAGCGATGTAGCTAGAAAAGGAACAAACACTTTACTAACTGAACCAGAACCATTCTGCTTCCTAAGTGGAAACCTTAAAAGCAGAACTCAAGAACCTGGAAAACACCATCCGTAACCTGGAATGGGGATTTTCCAACGCCAAAGACGCTCGAGGAAATTTGTCAGGACTTGGACCGAGAAAAATCAAAGATTTTCCGTGATTTAAGTAAGAACAATCTTTGGATTGTCACGGGGTTTTTAACAGACAATGTCTCCTCAATCAACACCTCAATAGATTGAAGCTAAAAAAACAATGGCGAATGTAGATTCTGTGGGGAAACACCAGAACACCTCATCACTGAATGCGCCGAGACGACAACCATTCGTGCTATAACTTTGGTACGACTGATATCGCGGAGGTGGAGGTCTAACCTCTGCAAAACCGTCTTATAGGTACTGGGTTTTGTCAAAGACCTGAGACTCTATGATGAGTTATAATTCAAGAAAAAGGGACACAATAGATCTACATATAAGGTCGCGATGATTAACCCCCCCCCTCCCATACAATATACGATCTATAAACTACAAGGTTTTACTTGATGCGTTTTGACTGACATGTAAAACGTTATGTGTAGACGGGTCTTTTGATTCCTAAAAAGAAAAAGTAAACAAGATTCCTCGTGTTTATTAAAACGCTGTCTGAGTTGAGCCAAGAATAAAAAAGGAAACTTGGACCCTTTCCAGACATTTTTTACAAGGATATTTCGTAGGTCGCCCTTGACGCAAATAAAAATATTTGTCATTGACAGACAACAAAACAGATGCGAAAAAATCTCTAATTAGTTAATTTTCCCGACCGGATATTTTATATGTATAATTAAAAAAGTACTTTAACAAAGATTGCTTAAAACGTTAGTCCTTGAACTATCCTTCGCCAAAAGAATCCTCTACCCTAAAGTTTTTCAGCTTTGATATTTTATAATTTTTTTGTTTTTCATTCGATTATCATGATATTTTAGCAATTCGGTTAATTGTTATTGTTTTTAGGATTCCGTAACTCAAAAGAAAAAAAAACGGAACCCTTATAGGCTTGGTGCATTCTCCGCCGGTGCTGCCACCATCGGAGAATATCGTAAACAACTAGTATATACAAATACATTTGTTTAAATAGCGGATATAGGAAAAATTATTATATAATTACTCCAAAAGTGTTAGGAAGTTTAATTATTTGTGAAAATTCTAAAATTAAAAATAAAAAAGTAAATATTTTGATATCTTTTTAAAATTATTATTCCAGCTAAAAAACTTTTTTAGATGAGTTCAACTACGGTAGCGAGCATAGTTTTAATCACCGGTTTTGCTAGTTGGATCATGATTGGTTTGGTTTGGTTTGGGGCTATGATTGGGGCTATTTTAGCTATAACGAAATTTTTTAAAGATACATAATTATAATTTTAGATGTTCATAAAACATTTAATCACTAATTGATTAAAAAAAGTATACCATTAATATTGCAAATTATATTTTATCCTCTCATTGTATATGTCTATTTAATTTTTTGATTATGTAACGAGCACTTTGTTTACTCACTTGTTTCGTCCAACTGCTTTAATCCATTTTTGTTTTTGATGAAATCGATGTGAGAAACTATGCAGCTATAAAATGTTGTTTCGGGATAGTTGAATATCCGAGAAAGTTGAATTATTGAATCTTATTGCACCCAACAACGCCCTAATTATGCCGGGACCCCGTTAGCCAACACAACACGCGCGCCATGCCACCCAACGTCATGAAGATCTGTGCGTATCCGTCCGTCCGTCTGTTTGTCTGTCTGTCAAGACCTTTTATCTCGGGAACGAGTGGACTTATCGAGTTGAAATTAAAACCATTTACTCATGTGTACATCAGTCCCTTGAAGCTGTAAAAAAACGAAACCAACTAGGTTAGGTTAGGCCGTATTTATTCTACATAAAGAAAATACGGCGGTTGATGCCGCAGAAAACGTCGAAAAAAATATTTTGACACTCTCAAGATAATCAAAATATAGGTATAGGATATTTTCCGACTTATGAACTATGAAATACTGTTTTTTGATTTATTAAGTAACAAGTTTTCTTTAGACGGCATTATACAGGTATAAACCAAAATTATATTTTTGGTTATAATTCCATAACACTTGTCGGACAATTAAGGAATTAAGGCGGTTAATTTTGTTTACACACTGCTATAATTTTAGATGTACTGACAATTTTATACTAATAATTGGCTATTTTTTTGTTTCTAAATAACTATATGACCATTCTAATCTGTTTTTCTTTTATTTAAGGTTATCCGTGCGCCAATGGTGAGTACCAACAAGCAAACTAAAATGTTATCTTTTATGTTGTGTTGTTTTGTTCGCTTAACGTCCTTTATTACATCTTCAAATGTGCTTGTTTTTTTTTCGGCTCATGTTCATGTTTCACCGGCTACCCACCATTATCACGCATCACAGAGCACTAACTTTTCATTTTCATATGTTTTCTGAAATCGCTTTTTAATGAGTGTATGTTATTTATTTGAATTATTTATTATACGTGATAAAGCTTCGAGTTTGTCTTAATTAATTTGGGTTTCTCACATTTTGGAATGGGAATCCTCCAACGGTCTAAGACACTCGAAAAAATTTATCAGAACTTACGACCGAGAAAAATCAAAGATTTTCCTTGATTTATGTGAGAACAATCTTCGGATTGTCACGGTTTTTTTAACAGGACACTTGTCTTCTCAGCGAACACCTCAGTAGTTTGAAGTTAAGAAACAACGGCTAATGCAGATTCTCTGGGGAAATGGGGAAACACCAGAATACCTCATCACTGAGTGCGCCGAGACGACAACCATTCGTGCCATAAACTTTGGTACGACTGAGATCGGAGATGGCGATTAACTTTGAAGTCGCTTCAGATACTGGCTTTTGTCAAAGCCCGGAGACTACTGTATCATGAGATTTAACTATTTATAACTCAAGAAAGGAGGACACACCATAGATCTGTAAGGTCGCGGTGATTACCTCCCCTCCTAAACATTCTACATTCTTATATTTGACAGTGGCCTGCATGAAAATCGGTCCTGACACCATTCTTGCGGATTCTTATGTAAAGTGATCTCCGTTTTTCCCCATCACCCCCTATTTTTGGGGGGAGGAGCCCTACCTATTTTTACTAATATGACTTTTCGATAGTTTGGTCGTATGAAAAGAATTATTTTGGCCTTTACATTGTCATTTCTGGAGACTATAAGCGTTATTAAGCGTATCAAGATATTAAGCGTTTTGAAAACAAGGATTTGTATTAAGGCGGTAGTTTTTTTAGTAGGGGGTCATCCTCGATTCCATCAAGGCATCGCTAAGCTGGAGAATTTTCAGGAAAGGGGAATGCTAGCATGTTGGTGGCGTACTGCTGGTTTGTGGTACGAGAGAGTTATGCATAGGATTTCCAGATTGTTATAGCTAAATCCCGGGAAAATTTCGAAAATTCTGTGAGAGTAAAGCTTGATTTTCATGCATCCGTTGTCCAACGATACGATGATATGATATTAATTTTATTGGTTGAATTTAAAGACTTCGATTGGTTAGAAACGGTTAACCAATCGCGCGTCGGACAACGGATGCATGAAAATCAAGCTTAAGTGAGGACAAAACACAGCTACCAAAAAAAAACGGCGGAGTTCCAAACAATTACATATCACCACCTATTCTACACTTTAGGGAATAGAGGGTGAAAACTAAATTAAAACATATCATAGTCAAAACTTGTTTTTTTGACACTTGCACAAACAACCATAAACGAAGAGATAATTACAAAAAATAAAAATAATTACAAAATATCAGAAATGCAAGGAAATAACATTACGACAGAAAAGAATGTAATTAATATGGAATATTAATGAAATAATATTAAGCAGAAATGTATATTTTTTACTTTAACTAAAATACCGTGTGCGTCTCAAAAGTGGCTCACCCATATAACTTTTTTATTTTTTATGACATAAATTGGGATTGATTGAAGTATTCAATTGTTTTTGATCACTTTCTGTTTGCCCGAAAATGACTACAACTGTTGATTTTTCAATTGCAGCCTCGGTATATTTTTACTTTATTCGATAGAAAATTACATTCTAAATAGAATTTACATATCATATGTCAACTTTTGATATTTTAGAATAAATTGTATTTTAAATTTCAAGCTAGAGTGCCATGGCTGTGTTAAATTAAAAACATCAATTTTTAATCAAGGTGCCTTGGAAAAATAGATTTGATCGTCTAATGTTTTTCGTGTCTTTTCCTGACCTGTTAAAAGCTGCCCAAATCATATTTTAAATCGTTTTTATCTCAATTTTTTAAAGTGGAATAAGTGTGGCCCATAGCATATTTGGAAAAAGCATTTTTTTACGAATAATTTGGTATCACACACTTGGTAGGTATTTCTTGTCAATTTGACGTTATGAACCGCATGTTACAATTTCAAATAAACCATATGCGAAAATGTCAAAAGTTGACATATGATATGTCATTCTATTCAGAGTGTCATTTTCTATCGAATAAAGTAAAAAAAAATACCGAGGATGTCATTTAAAAATCAAAATGTCTAGTAGTTTCCGGTGAAACAGGAAGTGACCAAAAACAATTGAATATGTCAATCAATCCTAATTTATGTCATATACTAACATACCAAATCTCCGTTTTTTATCTAAAAAATAAAAATAGTGAGCCACTTTTCAGACCCACCCGGCATAACGTTTAGTTTGCGTTTTCCGGAATAGTATTATGATATTCCGGGATCCGGAACAACTTACCTAAATCCGGGATTTTCCCGGAAATCCCGGACGCCGGGCAACCCTAGTTTTTCAGACTCTCAGAGTATAAATTGCAAGCAAGCACCAAATGTAGAATTTATTGACATTATGCAATCATGTCAATAAAATTATTATTATTGAAAAGTGATAAAAATATGATAACAATAGAGAGGGATGCTCCCCCGAAAATGGTAGGTAGTAGAAGAAAACGGGAGGTACATTTTCATTCAAGGCGTTATTTTACATAAGAAACAGCAGGAATGGTGCCAGGGCTAGAGAAAAAAAATATATATTTTTGCACAGACTAGTGTTATTAGTTTATAATATTTATTATATTCTGATAGGTGCCCCAGTTTTAAGTTCATTGTTTACCAGTCACCTATTATAACACTATTAACGACAGTATTGTTAAATGTAATTAAAACCATCGTTCTGTTTATAATAAACGACATTTTAATAAACAAATCGGCTGCTTCAACGACTGGCAAAATAGTTCGGCTGCGATCCATCAACAAGGAGCTATATTTATTTGACCCGGTGACCGACTAACAATGGCCAAAATCGTGCTGCTGTCGCTGCACATCTGTTTTGTAGAACGACGCTGCTGTGTCGACCAAAAAAAAAACTAAAATAGATCGCTCATAGTTTCGTAAATGAATTAAGTAAACAGGTGGACGTGGATGTGGGTTGCACTAGTTTTTTATTTTCGGAAATAAACCGCGGGTTTGAAGTAATGGAAATGTTCTGTGTTGTAATCGGTTTCGTTATTTTGTATTTATTCAGGTTCTTTGTCAAAGTTTATAAATATTTGTGTGTTTTAAGTAAACACCTTTTTAACTCTGTGCACGCTTTTGGCTTTATTAAAATTGAGTTTGGTGCACATGATTAGAAGTGTGCTTATGTGATTATTTGTGTATGCTTTAAACACATTGTGTGAGCGTAGCAATGTTACAATAATAGGGGACCAGGGCACGAAAGGCACAAGGATAACGAAAAGGCAGATGAAATGGCCAAACAAGATTCATCAATGCCATTCATTGGTCCACAACCCTTCCGCGGCGTTGCAAAAGCAGTGACGAGAATGGCCAGAAAACAGATCCCAAAATTGGTGGAGAAATTCACCAGGGCAGAGATAGGCAAAAAAGTTCTAGTAAAACAGTCGCCAAAATTCATGGCAGGCCTGATAAGAAAGACAGTTAAAGCTGTAGTGGGTCTACTAACAGGGCATTGTATGGTGAATAAGCATCTAAAGCTGATGGGATTGACGTAAATCTGAAGAATATTTTTTATCGGTGCGACAGCCTAGCAACTGTGCGTTTTTTACTAGACAATGGTAGCCATTGACAGAGAGCTATATGAGGGTTCAGTCTCCAAGTTTCTAGATTTTTTAAAAAGGTAAAGGCTGGAGAATGTAACCTAAAGATCAGAAGAGGACCACAATAGTTACTACTGAATAGATCACAGTGGAACAGGCCGATAGTTATCTCGAAGAATATGATCTAATCTACTGGCTCTGGACCAAGATAGAATTTCAATGATCCTTGTCTTGTTAATTCGTCGGCTTTTATGTTGCTTTCGATGCCGGTATGACCCGGCATCCAAGGTGATTTAATCCTGTTTCTTTCTACCAGAGTTCCAAATTCATCCAGGTATTCCCAGACGAGTCTCAACGATACCTTTGAGCTCATAAGCGCTTTAAGTGCCGCCTGACTATCTTAGCATATGTATGTATATTGATGAGCTTCCCTAAGTAAAGATCTTCTAATCTTTTCTCCTGCGCCGTGTAGAATGGCGAAGATTTCTGTCTGGAATACGGTTGAATTGAGTATTTACCCAAGGAAAAGAATTGTCATTGGTCCTTCCCCAAATGATCCAGTTCCTGTTCCATCAGCGGTCCGTTAGTCCGTTTGAAGGATTATTTTATCTGTCCACATTCCTCGGTCCATTTTAGTTACCTCTACTTTGTTGTAGATAAAGTCCTATTTTTGCCACTGCCTGGATGTGAAGATGCGGAAGGTCCAGAAACTCATGTCCATTGATGCAGTGGACAGTGGACGTTGATTTCATTCCCTCTCATTTTTTTTAAGCGCTAATGTTAAAAGTTGACATATGATATGTCATTCTATTCAGTGTCATTTTCTATCGAATAAAGTAAAAAATAGCAAGGGTGGCGTTTAAAAATCAAGAGTTATAGTCATTCCCGGTGAAACAGGACGTGACTGAAAACAATTGAAACGTCAATCAATCTTACTTTATGTCATATACTAACTTACCAAATGTTTATTTATCTGAAAAAATAAAAAAGTTATAGAGATAATCCACTTTTGAGAAACACCCGGTATACCGAATGTTCTTGGCTGATCATGTACTAGAAGTATTAGGAGAAACAGAGAACACAATATCTAGTTTGAATATTTTTTGTTCATATTATGCATAACAATAACATTCATTAAAAATTGAAAAAAATGTTGGGAAAACACACAATTTTAAATTTTTGAATAATACCCATAA